GGACATGTCCGACTTGACCGTATGCCTTCCCCCCACGGGCACGCCGCCGAGATGAACATGAACGCGATGTCGGTGTACGAGTCGAGCTTCCAGAGGACCGTGCTGGCCAGCAGCATCCACCACCTCCTCTGGAGCCAGGCGTGCCGCAGCTCCTCCGTGGGGGGGGAGCCGAGGACACCGAGCGGAGGAGCACGAGCCTGAGGAGCGAGGATCAAGGGTCGAGGATCGAGGGGCGAGCGAAGAACGATCGAGGAAGGGGGTAACTCGAGCCTGAAAATTGAGGGGGGTCTGCCATCATGACGCATGCGTGTGCTTCTGTTTATTGTGTAATTGTTTTTAGCCGAGGCGTTACGCCCGGGGGGGGTCCGCCTGTAACGCGTTTGCCGCTTCCCGAGCGCGCAGGGGGCGTTACACCCAAAGGGGGTGGTCTGCTTGTAACGGCCCTGGCCCCCCCGAGGTGCCCGTCCACCTCCGTCTGTGCAGGCCCTGGGCCAGGCTGTGCCGAGGAGGAGGAAGGATGAGGAGGAGGAGGAGGAGGACGAGGAGGAGTAGGCCGTACAGGGGAGGGTATTGGCGCGAGTGCTGCAAAGCACATGCGGGGTAGTAGCGCATCTGAATATATGGTGCATCCATGGGAGTACGGGGATGTATTGGCTATCCGCCTCCTGCCTCCCCATGTGTCTCTGGTTATGCGTTGGGGATGTTTTGCGTTGCAAATGTACGCACACAGACACACACATATTGCATGCCATCTCTAGGAAGAGGAGAAGATACGTGTGTGATCTTAGGCAGTAGTTTGTTAGGGAGGAGAGTGTTCGGCATTTGCCTTGGAGTTCATGCATCTCAGTCGATTGCATATGAAATTTTCTTGCTAGGACACGATAATGGTAACACTTTACCCGTGCCCTAAACGACAGCCGAGACTATCCTCCTCCGCCTCCTCCTCCTCCTCCTCCTCCTTATCCTCCTCCTCCTCCTCCTCCTCCTCCTCCTCCTCCTCCTCCTCCTCCTCCTCCTCCTCCTCCTCCTCCTCCTCGGTGCACACGCCCTCCTGGGCTGGGCGGGGACGCATTCACACTGATCCAGGGCCCAGGCTCGGCCCGGCCAGGATCGACGAGGCGGACGAGGGCAAAGTCCATCTCAAGGGGCCCAGGGACACACAAATAGATCGGCACAAATCCTAGGATAGTTTCCAATATTTTCTGCGTTTTCGTCGTCCCCCCCACTTCCCATATTTTGCTATATTTTCCCTGGGAACGACGATTAATTGTGTCTGTGCGTTTTTCCCCTCCTCTCTCCCAGGGTCCATCCTGACAGGATTCTCCTCCTGGGGCCCAAAGCGGCTCCCCAGAGCCCGGAATGGGAAAAACCAACCCGGCGGGAATTCGCGTCTGTTCTCCCGATCCTCCCGCCCAGGAGCCCAAGAGAGCGAGCTTGCACTGAGGATCCCTCACTTGTCTGTCAATTACGTAATTGGGTGGGTTCCCTGGGTCTTCGTCTAGTGGGCGCCCGAAAGCGCCTCATGGGAGGTTCTTCAGGAGGAGAAGGAGGAGGAGGCGGAGGAGGAGGAGGAGGAGCAGGAGCAGGAGCAGGAGCAGGAGCAGGAGCAGGAGCAGGAGCAGGAGCAGGAGCAGGAGGAGAAGCAGGAGGAGGAGGAGGCGGAGGAGGAGGCGGAGGAGGAGGAAGAGGAGGAGGAGGAGGAGAAGGAGGAGGAGGAGGAGGGGGACCAGGTGTTGGTCCGGAGGGCGACTCATAGGCGCCTCGTGGGCACTGTGCGCTGGCGGGGCTCTCCGGGTCTTCGCCACAACCGCCCGCCCGTGGGCACATCGTGCGCTCGCTGGCGTTTGTGTAGATGCCCTCGAGATTCTCCTTTTCAGAAGAAACAAACTCGGCCACCCTCGATCCCCCGGGGCGAACGGTGCCCCCTGGAGAAGTGCAAGGCACACCTGGTGCTGCCCCATCGTTCCTTCCCCATGCGAACGCCTACCATCCCAGCCCAACCGGTATCGCCCCTCCCCCTATCCCGGACAAAGATCTGGCACTGTGCGCGTACACTCGCACATCCCATCTGTATACGCATATAAACATGAACAAACAAAGAACTTGCCACAATGATCACGAAGTCGACACGCGCGCACACGTCGAAACCATACCAACGCACACCATATTCGCCAGCAGTTCAAAACGAACATTTTGTTTCACAAGTCTTGCAAATTCTCGTGCCGCCACACTTGGTGAAATCATTAGAAAACTGTTCGAATCCAGCAATATCGTCGACAATCCGCATTCTCATCTAATCACGCGGTGCATCCACTTTGATCTAGCGTGCACCCAATGCACGAACCCATCCCAAATATTACCCTCCAGGCCACACGCGCGAGCCGCCACACGCGCGTCGAAATATGTCGAAGTCCATCCGAAATCATTGGCGTGTTCGAATCACTGAACCATATCTTGAAACAAAAAAGATGCCTGCTGTTTTTATTTTTCACGCGCGCGACCCTTCCCACCACCACCCTTAGCAACGCAACCGAATTACCGCCGTTATCGTCATCGCTCATTGCCGCCATCATCCGTCAATCACCTTCATCCCCGACACATGGACATCATCATCGTCAACGTCGTCACCAACGTCGGCGCCGTCGTTGGCCCCGGTGCCAGCATCGTCATCATCGCCACCACCATCGCTGCTCTCATCATAGATTTCGCTGTCGTCGACGTCATCATGATAACCGCGCCCACCCGAGTCACCAATCCGCAATGAAGTGCCCGCGCTCCAGCACGGTTTTTGAGACGCGCTGGAGAACTCCCCTTGGCAAGCGCCATCGCGGCCGCGGCGGCTGTGCCAAACCAGCTGACCGCTCTGCGCAAGTGTCAGCGCCAGCGCAGCCGCAAAGGTGCGCCAGCCAGCACCGAGTAGTCACCGCAATCGCGGCAGCAGGGGTTGTGCAGTATGAATTTGCGGGTGGGAGGGTGGGATGCTTGCGCGAGCAGTGGAGTTGGTGACTTCAAGTTCTGCAAGGTGGATTGCACCACATAGGTTGCGCCAAGAAGCTTGCAACATATTAGTTACACAGCAAAGACTGAGGCTGCACCACACAGATTGCACTACAGATCTTGCCCCACACATACACGGCACAAACGAGGCGTAGTAAAATTAGCTTGCACCATAAACCTTGCGCCACATAGATTTCACAATGTACGTTGCATCACACAGATTGCAGCACACACGTTGTACCGCACACTTTGCCCAAGAGCACAGAGCACGTACCCACCGCTTGGGGCCCACGCTGGTAGGCATCAACAAACAACATGTTCTCCTCCTCCACCTCCTCCTCATCCTCCTCCTCCCCCGACCGAGACCTCCAACGTCCCAACACGTTGCACAGCATGGACGCACGGAGGGCCAGACCCTTTCTTTGGGGACCTGCTGCTCCTCCTGGGGCGCTGTTCCGCGGCCCGTAGGCCCAGCGAGGGCCCCCGAAAGCCGAAAAAAAAGCGAAAAGGGGCGAAACAAGATACGGATGCTGCTGCTCCCCGGACCTCTCCCGCGGTGCGTGCTGACAGAAAGTTCGAGGAGAATCGATCCAGCCGTGGCGACGGGGGCGCTCCAGGACGAGCGACGGTAGCAGTACATGTCCCTCCTCTGAGTGGTGATTCCGGCGCACGACCCGAAGGAGTCTCGGCGATCCTCCGCGCCCAGGAGCCCCAGGCGCCGCACCACGGACAGCTCCAGCAGCACCGCCGCGGCCAGCATCCCCAGCAGCACCACGCCGTACAGCAGCCACGAGGCGGCCGGCAGGCTTGCCTCGCACCGGTGGTGGTCCAGGAAGAGGGCCGGCACGGCGACCGCGGCGCCCCACCAGCCGAAGTGGTAGCGCACCAGCGACCAGAAGAAGCCCCTCGGCGGTCGCAAGGGGAAGGGTCGCCAAGCGAGGGAGGAGGGAGGGAGGCGACGTCCTCCTCCTCCTCCTCCTCCTCCTCCTCCTCCTCCTCCTCCTCCTCCTCATCGTCATCATCAGCATCATCATCATCATCATCATCATCACCACCACCACCACCATCATCATCATCATCATGATCATCACCACCATCATCATCATCATCATCATCATCATCATGATCATCATCATCATCATCATCATCATCATCATCATCATCATCATCATCATTGTCGTTGTCGTCGTCGTCCTCGTCGTCGTCGTGGTCGTGGTCGTCATCGTCATCGTCGTCGTCATCCTCACCCTCGTTAACATCACCACCACCATCATCATTTTCATCCTTATCTTCGTCATAATCATCACCACCACCAAACTCATCATCTGCATCTCCCGCTTCTTTCACCTTCTCACTATCATCCTTCTCCTCCTCCTCCTCCTGCTCTTCCTCATCCTCATCCTCATCGCCATCATCATCATAATCATCATCATCATCAGCATCAGCATCAGCATCAGCATCAGCATCAGCATCATAATCAGCAACAGCATCATCATCATCATCATCATCATCATCATCATCATCATCATCATCCTCACCATCATCGTAGTCGTCCTCATCATCTTCACCATAATCATAATCAGCATCAACGTCATCATCATCAGCAGCATCCTTATCATTATCACCACCACCACCACCGCCACCACAATAATAAGAATCATGATCATAAGAATACGAATCAGAAGAATCAGAATCCCTGTCATCGTCATCATCAGCATCATCAGCATCACCACCATCATCATTCATCATCATCCTCATCATCACCACCACAGGAATACAAAATAATATCACTACTAATGATACTAACAATGATAATAATAGTAATAGTAATAATAATAGTCATAAGAATCATCATTATCATAATCACCATCCTCATCATAATCCTCATCATCAACATCACCACCACCCCTTCCACAATAAGAATAATCGTAAAAAATAACCAGCATCATCATCATCAGCAGCACCAGCATCATCAACATCAGCATCAGCATCAGCATCAGCATCATCACCATCATCATCATCATCGTCATCATCAGCATCATCATCAGCAATATCATCAGCACCATCAGCAACATCACCATCATCATGATCACCATCGTCATCATCATCATCATCATCAGCAGCAGCAGCACCGCCATCATCAGTACCACTATCAGCACCACCATCATCACCATCATCATCATCATCAGCATCATCATCATCATCATCATCATCATCAGCAGCAGCAGCAGCAGCCAGCATCATCATCATCATCATCATCATCATCATC